TTACCGGTAGTCATTGAGCATTTATGAGGGTTATGGAAGAGGATTAGAATAAGTTATAGAGGTTATTAAGAGAGTTAAAGATGAGAATGTCAAAAAGATATTGATTTTATTTAGAGAATTAAGAAAGATGAGAATTAGTCAAGGATGTAATTAAGAGGCTTTCTGAACAGATTGAGAATTAGTTATTGACAAAATTAAGACACTTAAGGACAAGGATAAGAAATAGTCATTGACTTAATTAAGAGCCTTTAGGAAGAGGATTAAGAATTAGTCATTGATGTAAGGAAGAAGATTACGTAGAGAATAAGTTATTGACATAGGAAGAGGATAAGATTTGGGTATTTAGAAAATAAAGAGGTTTAAGGGAGAGTATAAGAGTCGGTGACATAATTAAGACAGTTACGGAAAGGATGAGAATTAGTATTTGACTTCATCAAGAGGGTTAAGGAAGAGGATAAGATTTAGTTATTGAGGTAATAAAGATGGTAGGGAAGATGATGAGAATTAGTCATTCACATAATTAAGAGGAATATGGAATATGATAAGAATAAGTCATTGAAATTATTAAGAAGGTTACGGAAAAGGACAACAATTAGTCATTGAGGTAATTAAGAGGGAGAAGGAAGAGAATAAGAAATAGTGATTGACGTGATTGGTAGTCAGTGACATAATTAAGAGGCTTTAGAAAGAAGATAAGAATAAGTCGAGGACCTAATTAAGAGAGTGAAGGAATAGAATAAGAATTAGTCATTGAGGTAATTTAGAGGGTAATTGAAGAGGATGAGAATTAGTTATTGACGTTATTATTAGGGATATGGATGAGGATGAAAATTAGTCATTATCATAATTTAGAGGGTTACGGAAGAGGATGAGAATAAGTTTTTGGCATAATTAAGAGCATTAGCTAAAAGGGTGAGAATTAGTCATTGATAATATTAGTCTGTAACATAATAAAGAAATTTATGGAAGAGGATAAGAATTACTCAGTGAGCATTTATTAGGATTATAGACACTGGATGAAAAGTCCAGTTTCCGCAAAACTGAAACTATATGGAAACCTTGCTGAAACTTGGCGTTGAAGTTTCCTGTATGGTTTCCGCAATGCGGAAACTATATAATAGTTTCAGCAAGTTTCTGTAGGGTTTCCGTATGCTGAAACTATTAGGTTTGTTTCCAAATAGTTTCCGCAAAACGGAAACCAATGTAAAATTTAATAAAATATACATTTAACGATACTTTTTAGTTTCAGTAGGTTTCAGTTTCCGGAAACTATTGATTTCGATTCCATATGGTTTCCGCATGCTGAAACCGAACTGAAACTTTTTCTTTTCTTTTTTTTTCAAATGGGTAAAAAAATCAATTCAAATGATTTTTTCCCTATTGAGTTCGATTCCATATGGTTTCCGCATGCTGAAACCGAACTGAAACTTTTTCTATTATTTTTTTTTCAAAAGGGTAGAAAAATCAACTCATATTATCTTTACTATTGATTTTGATTCTGTATGGTTTTCGCATGCTGAAACCGAACTGAAACTGTTTTTTATTATATTTTTTTTTCAAAAGGGTAGAAAATTCAACTCATATAATATTTTTATTTACTTATACATTTTAAAAAATGGTTTTATTTTTAAATACCAGGTATCTACTACTTCATATTCAGATTTTGAGATGACTGTGCTCTGTGTAAACTTACACATACCGATATTGATATCAATGATAAGCACTTTATACAAGATCCTTGCTTCATATTAATTTATTTCATATTGTGCTGAAAAAATATCATTTTTAAACAAAATCGATTCCCCTCACCAGGATTTTCTACATTACCCAACTCGAGACTCCCCCTCGGGAATTAATTCTTTTCATAACATACATTATTTTCACAAAATATTACTTCCGTATGAGAACAAATCAAGGTTTATATATAAAGGTTCCTCTGTCTACAATTACATTTAATGTTAATTTGTTTAAAAAAGAAAATTAGTGTGTCTTCATGGTGCATGAAATACAGATAATTACGAGAGCGAACGTTTACATTATCTGAGATAGCAAGTTTTGCATTTAAATTCCTTTATATACATGTATCTTGAATGGAAAATTATCATTTCAATAATTCAATTTGTTAACAACACATACTGACTAGGAAGCCTTTTTACTATTCAGTGTTCAACATAGATATATAGTGCAATAGTTACTAGTTGTTTTTTATAATTACATTGATTTAATATCTACATGTATGTATTTTTATCTCCGTTCTCATGAATACATTTTATTCGTTTAACAGGCGTTAATCTTATTCGAAAGCCGTGGGTAAATATTGTAAGAAAACATGTCCTGAACAATTGATGCCATGGTTCTTAAGATCTGCAGCATATTATGTCAATCTAATTAAAATTAAATCGTCTCATTTGTTACCCAAATGCTTATTCGCACGCACGAGGAAGACTTATTAATGTAAAAAGTCTGTTTTTGTGAAACAATACCCTGGGAGCGAATGGAAAATCTCATTTTAATTAGATTGCAAGTTATGTGTAGGCATTTTATTTATTTATTTATTTTTTCAAATATCTTGCTTTCGTGATGTTAATTAATGCAATATTACTGAAAACGCGGTACCTATACTTTTTAGTAATATGTTCAATTATATTCGTATTGAGATGTATAATGTGCTATATTTGTGATTCAGAAAACCCTTTTTTTTAAATAAAAGTAGTATGTAAGTTGATCAAATTTTCTATCCTTTTCTTTGAACCCCACTCGCGGGCACCTGTCCTCACGTGCCACAGGTGGGGAGACACGTGTCGCGAAGACACCTGCTACCGTGTTGGTGTATTTTTTGTATATTCTATGTGGATTGAGAGGTTTTTCTACCTTAGAGGAACAATGGGCTGTGACCAGGCGTAATATATACATACAATACATGGTATACACAGTATAGTCACTAGTAATGACCCCAAGGTGTCTGAACATTCAAATTTTAAAAATAATAAAAAAAATTCCACACACACTATATATATATATATAAAACTTCACCTACATGTAAATCAAACAAATAAGATTGTTTTATAAAATATTTTATATAAAATGTTTCATTTAAGCTATTAAGTTTACCATGTGTTGGTGATTAAAAGAAAAAAAAAATTGAAAAACCTCTCAGATATTTATCTATAGATCAATCTAATAAATAAAAATAATCTACAGGTAAGGAGAATATTTGCTAGTTCAATAAACTATTTTAAAAATTTCAATATTATTTTACAATTTCTCCATAAAAAAAATCGGCAATCACAAAAAAATCGACAATTAATGGTATTCCTTGTTTGCCACCATTGTAAACTTCAAATATTGAAAATATTTAGAGATCGATGACACGCAACCTAATGAAAACAAAGTCTATGAGTTTTATTTCATAACTTTTTTCTCTAGGTTATTTCTAAGTACACAATAAAACAACGCTTTATTTCTAATTTAGAGTCCAAAACAGAAAAGTGTGAGGTTATTACAATAATAAGGAAAAGATAAAAAAAAAAGATAAATACATTTAGTAAACAACAATATACATGACATGTGTAAAGGACTATGACTACTATTATATGATATCATTTATGAATTTGACCGCAAAATTAAGAGTTTCCGTATCTTCTGTATTGAGTAATAACCCATAATTTTTTGTTCATCATCTAATGCTGAGAAGTAGCGCTATTTACAATTTTAAAATTGTACATGTAGATATTTTCTGAGATGGAAATTTTTAACAATTGATTAATAATTCTTATAACCCCAATTTTGCTTTTGAGTTTCACAAAGGTATAAAAAGCAATACCAGAGAGAGAGAGAAGAGAGAGAGAGACAGAGACAGAGACTCATACAACACATTCTAATACACATAAAGTTTGTAATTTTTTTCGTCGTTTTATTTAAGTTACGAAGGTCAAAATTAATCATTATATAATTCACTATATAACAATGATTATAAACTTACATGTACTTTGTTAATTTACCTATTCTATTTTAGGATACAAATAAAAATGTATTCCGTAGATTAAGATTTTAAAAAAACATATAAACATAAATTTTCAGACTTGTGATAAAGTTTTAACCAGCTAATTCGTATCGCTTACTAGAAAAGGGGAGGGGTAAAATCGCTCTTGTTTGTGGATAATATGCCATCAGCATAACTTTGTTTACTTGTATACTTTTTTTTTTACACAATAATCTAAGTACTTGTGTATATGATTTTCAATCTATTTGTCCATGTTGTAAAAATCTGGACAGTCCGTTTCAACAATTACCATAATCATGATAGATAATAAGGGACTTAAAATACGGTTTTATACCCAAATTCAATTCCATGATCAATTTTATTTAAGCATTGAAAACTGACATGTTCATTCTGTTGTCATAAATGCAAAGACGTCGGCAATGAAAAGGTAAAAAAAAAAATATATATTGCCAAAAGAGAAATTCAAAAACTAAGTTGAATTTTCCGTAGAGACTGACATTCAATCACTAGGTGGCGTATCGCGATAGAATGCTTCTCTCTCATTGGTTAGATTTTTAGTAGAAAAAAGAGGGACAAAATGGCGAAGAAAACACCAAGAACTTGCTCAAGAAAAACAACAGAGATGAGAAGATCTTTTGACTCCACACAGAAGAAAGGCACCTCAAACGACAGATTAGATACAGGTAGTTATTTCTTACAGTTCAGAGCACCTTTATTTTTGTTTTTATTGTCTGCAATCGTAAGAATAAAGTTGGGTCAAAACGGCGCGTTCCAAAAATTCAAATCGGCCATTGTACAGTTATAATTATTTTGAAAAAGCGCCTTGTAAGTCATTCTCAGCTTAGGTTGTAATACGTATAATTAAGTGCTGTTAAAACGGCCGCATGCATTTTGTACCATTGTATTTATCTTGCATGTTTTCGTATGATTATTAGAATATGTTTTTCTGCATCGTCCCAATCATGTAAAAAAAAAAAGGCACATACGTGTTGTAGTATTCCGGAATTTTAAATGTAGGTTGGTTTTAGAGGATAATATCGTTATGAACTTGTATCCGGTGTTTACTTTTTCGGAAAATCGAAAGATTTGCCCCCACGCTTATGTTCTTTCAGAAAAGGTGAGCTTTGTTGTTCATTATAACTGCTGGATGTGTTCACTGTTATTCGCAGGAGTAGTTTCTTAAATCCTACATTTATTTTTTGCTGAATTGTTTTTATTATTGATGGAAGACTGTGCTGCACAGCCGAGGAAGGGGTTGAATATATTTTTAACATACGTGCAGTCTAGAATCGTAAATATTAGACATGTTAGAGGGCATCATGTCGGGAAAATGCCATTGTGTTAGAGGGCATCATGTTGGGAGAATGCCATCGTGTAGGGTTCCATGTTCGTTCGCCCAAAAAATTGTTCGCCCGATACCCCGTTCGCCCGATTTTTTGTTCGCCCAGAGTTCGTTCGCCCAATTTTTCGTTCGCACAGGGTCCGTTCGCCCAGATTTGATGTAGAATATCATAAAATGATTTTTTTTTTACATTTTTGGTACATTCGAAATAATACTGACTGATTGTGGAGGGTCAACATCAGCTGGTGGGTCGGCTGGCTGGACTGGAGGGTCAACATCAGCTGGTGGGTCGGCTGGCTGGACTGGAGGGTCAACATCAGCTGGTGGGTCGGCTGGCTGGACTGGAGGGTCAACATCAGCTGGTGGGTCGGCTGGCCAATACCTCGCCTCACATGGTCCACAGAACCAGTGGAGCTCCTCCCTACCATGTTTTACATCGTTGTACCGTTGTAGTGATATCCCTGGAAAATTTTAAAGTTTGCATTTTTTTTGTTCGAAACAAATATACTAGAATTGCTTACCACTCTTTGATTTATCTACTCTGTTAATTATCCATATTCCAATTACAATTACAGATACTGATTCAAATGAAATGTACATATAATAATATTACTATATCATTTTATCATTTATATATTTACATGCCCTGTTCAATAGAAGCTAGATAAGATGTAAATACACAAAAAACTACGACTTTGATATTTTTCATCCTTACCAACAATACCCAGGCATATCTATGACATGTATGTGTAAAAGACTAATATTACAATATCATGTTATCATCTATGAATTTGCCAACAAAATTAAAGTTTCCTCAATATATTCATATTTTACAATATGTATTTAAATTACACATGATAGCAATTGCCTCAACTTATGAACCAAGTGAAAATTGAAATTATAAATGTACTAAGACTATGCTGAATAATATTATTTCATCACATTTAATTAAATGCTCTGTTTAATAATCAGCAAGCAAGTCCATTTATTGGACTCACACCAAAACCAACATCAGTATGATACACCAGGTACAATATATAAAATAGTCATCATATTTGTAATTAAAATTATCAATATTTTTATCATGATTATGATACAATAGCATAAATGATACAGTATACCATATGTGCAAAGTATGACAATAAACATACAATGAAAAGAAAAAAAAGGGAAGGTATTAAGTATGGTAGCATTTCAATTATGAAGGAGATATGGTGTCGTTTATTTTAAAAATAAAAATACAAGGTTTCTTAAATATTTTAAATTTGTTGTCGACAATGTTATGTTAATTTTATTAATATTTTTGGAGTATTTTTCACATACAAAATTACTCAGTAGATTTTGAGAAATTGAATTTTTGGTAATTTATTATTTATTTTTACTCAATTTGACATATCATTTTATATATTATATTTGTTGACTACATATATGACTTGCATCCCAAATTTTCTCAAGTTTAGTAACGAAAAAAATTAATATTCCACATATATATTCATGAAAAAATAAATTAATTAAATATTAATACAAGTATATCCTTCATTGGTAAATAATAAACAATGAAATCTGCATTATTCTTTCTCCTTTTTTTATTTGATTTGATTGCATTGAATTTGATTAATTATTTATTTTAATTTATTTCTTTTTATTCAGTTAAAATAAATATATACAAAAGAAATGTGTATGCTAATTACAAAAAGGTAAAAGAAAAATATTTGTTTATTTATTTATTTCTATATCACAATTTTTGCTAGATTCCTCTAAACTAGAACTATTAAATAATTTCATTTATTAAAGTTGTTGTAAAATAAATGTAATTCTTACCAGTGTTGCACAGGCGATGCTGCCAACCTTCACATGCATCACAACTGATGGCATGCTGTCGCGGACGTACTTCTCTCCCACAGGACAGGCACGGGGGGTTGACCTCTGCCATGGTTGAGAGTTGAATGTTGAATTTTCATTTTCCATCTTCTTATAAATCTTTTTTTGAGATCAAAGGGAGATTCTTCAAAGGTAAAACCTTCAGGATCCGCTGCTCAGTTCTATAAGGGATCTATTAACGTCTCATTCCCTTAATTGTTTTCAAAACATAGCGCAGTCCCTTAATTGTTTTCAAAACATAGCGCAATTCGTAAAAACAACACGGGTGTATCCCCCCAATTAACATTGAGATTAGTCATCTAATTAATTATAGTGCAAACACCAAATCATTAATAAATGCATTAGAATCAAATCAAAAATTAATTAAGACTAAATAAACATTGTTCCTGGTTTCAGAAAAAATAATCCAAGTTCGTAAAGGAAAAAAAATTACATGTATGTTAATCTTTATTTCAAATAAGTCAAATTAAGTTAATATATAATATAATATATAAGTATTGGGCGAAACTTTAATAGGGCGAACAAGATTTTGGGCGAAGAAATTCTTGGGCGAACGGACCCTGCGCGAACGGACTCCGGCGAACAAGTAGATCGGGCGAACGGACCTGTTACCATCGTGTAGTATTGTATCACTGTGAAATGCCAATTTGTACATGCTGTATAGTCATGAAAGTAAAATTCCTGAGAACTTGCAGATTTTGGGATATGAAAGTGACTTGATAATTTTCAGTATGCCTCACATTATTCAAGTTGAAGTATTTTATTAAGTTTCATACCATACATTATGATTTTGAAACATTATCGTACATGAACAAAATAGTTATACACGAAGATACATAAACATCTTTTCTTACAAGGCATAATTATCATTAATTGAACGTAAAATGTTAAAATGATATTTATTTTAAATTAATAGATCGATTGTAATTTCATGCTGACACATGTGCATGTTTTGATCTATATGAAACAATTAACACTATTTTAGCAACCTAAAACTTGATTTACCGGTAGTGTGCATGGTGTAATTGTTCATTAGAAATACCATATTTTTATTGTACCTTGTGTATTAAATGTGGTGCAGTTTCAAAATATATCAGAAATCACAACCATAAAAATTATTCTCTTGATATGAACAGAACAGTATTTACCTGAAGTGTGTATTATGATAAACTGGAGCTTGATGAAATGGGCAATTGGCCATTTTCAATTTCTTAAGTTACATTTATTGATTCATTATACAGTCATATACTTGTATTTATTTGTTACCCTTTAGAGAACTTTTTATTAATGTGGACACGTCACCAACAGTCTCATCAGAGGGACCAGTCTCTATGTACATGTACTACATTGGATTCAGACCCGTGATGTAGGAATCAGCTCTTACTCCCCAACTCTAGGCGTGTCACTCTAACCACTGGCAATGTGACACATTATGAAAATTTGACATAATACTTTTATGATCTCTAAATTTTATTGACTTGATAAAATGACTGATACACAAATAAGATTTTTGTAATCTTTCTGTTTAAAGCTTTTTACCATTTGCCATATTTCTATCACTAATTAAATCAGTTTTCAAAAATGGCCACCGAAGAGTCCTAGTTCTGTGTTATTATACAAATGATCTTTCCTTGATGTGAAATAGAATATTAAATGAAATTAATTATTAAATGAATTATAATTTTGAATCGGAGAAGGCCTACATATCTTAAACAAACATAATTTAGATGTAGTCTTGCTTTTATGGAAAATTATAACTTATTTAATTTTTCTCACTCTCAGATATAATTGCATTTAAAAATCTTGTAAATTGAGGTTGAGATAGCCTGATAGGACTGCCACTTAGAATTAGACCAGAGTGTGACTGTGTCCATTTTAAAATGATACAATTTCCAATCATTTTTTCTTCTTTGTCATGTGTCCATTAGAATTTTCACTGCATGTCAGGTGCAAGGAAATGGGCATGCAAGTGGATTTTGAGACTTTTCTGAGCTCATGCTAAAAACAAAAAAGTTATTACTGTTATGTACTGTACTAACTCGATCTATTTTAATTTCAGATATCCATGGAACAAATCATCTGAAAACTAAGAGAGGATGAAGAATACTTCTGTTAAAAAAGTATAATAGAACTTATGTAACTCTATTTTAGGAAATTAAGGACTAAAGCACAAAGTTTATGTTTTTATTTTCTATTGTTTTCTTAATCTTACTGTATAATTTAAAGCTCTCTATTTATCATAGTCAGTGGTTGTCAGAGTGTGTGTTGTGGGGGAAGGGGGAGGGGGGGGGGGGTGTAAGCTGCTTTCCTCTACTTTTTAAGCTTTATATAATATCTTGATATGTTCGGCATTTCCATCAAATTAACAGATGTTAACATTTTCTTAGAAAGTCTCATTTTGCGAGCCACCTACTAAAATTCTCTGATTTATTTAAAATAAGTATTTATAAACAGGCCTATTTATAGGTCACCTTAGTAAACTCAGGTGACCTATTACTATCTGTTTTTGTCTGTCGTGTGTTGACATTTGAACATTTTCAGCTTCTTCCTTGCAACCGCTCAACCAATTTTGGTACAAAGCACCAACAATGAAGGGGAACAAAATTTGTCAATTTTATGATACCCCCCCCCTTCTTTTTTACTCCTGGACATCAAGCAGTCAAACTGTTGGCCATGATTGTAATGAGCACTGAGTCATCTACCATAATTATGAAATTCATGGCCCCAAGGTCAGGGGTTCTAGTACTAGGGTTGGTCCATATAGCTCTTTGGAATTAATCAACCATTTATGATGAAAAAAACTTAAGATAACATTTAGAAAATTTTGAAATGTGTGGCCCCAGGGTTAGTGGTTCCTGTGGGGTGGGGTACACAACTGGTGGTTTTAAAATGGAATTGCATTTTATCTTTATTACTCTGATCTACCTTTGTGTATTGAGTAACCAAAGTAAGCATGCTAAGTGTATAATTATGAAAAACAATGGTGCATCTTTCAAAATTTGGAATTTCATGGCTTTTTGTTTAAAACACGAACCAAATTCAATTGAGTGAAAGTTGTTACATGATACCTATAAGGTCTATGGGCCTCTAGCTGTTATTCAAATAAAAAAATATTTTGATGAACAAGTAGAATGAAAGAAAATTCCTTAATTTATTCTGAAAATCAGGAACAAATCTAAGCATATATATTCAGGTACATTTAAATAAATTCAAGTTTGTTTATTTCATTTCCCCTAGTCAAGTGTTTTAAAGAGGCATCTTAAATAAACTAATGATATTTTACACTTGATAAATTTTTAGATTTCATTTTTAATCATTCTGATAAAAAAAAATGCTTAAGGGGCAATATCCCTCTGCTCCAAATTTCACGACTTTTTTTTAAAAAATCCAGACATTGATTTTCAGCAACAACTATAGCATTAAATTCAAATGGAAAATAGTTTGAAGTATGAAGCGTTGCTTACTTTTTTCAGAAATGAATAATATGTCAAATCATAATGTGAAGAAAATTTGATATGGTAAATAGAAAGATTTATTATTTTTTATCTCACAATTAAATTAGAAATATGAGGTTTATATAAAAATAATATTTACTTTCATACCTATCTAATTCCAATTAGAAAACATACTGAAGCGCTGCTTTTTAAATCACAATTACAAATTGTTTTCTGTGCATGTAAAATAACACGCATCCATAAACAACAGTTATCGTTCCATTATCGCCCTTGAAAATATTTTTTAATGAAACAAAATATTAATTAAATGTTTATAAACAATACTGCATCTGAAATTTCTGTACAATTAAAAGAATTATACTTTAAGAGATAGAGATTTTTCAATTTACACTGTTTAAAGGAACTGAGTATAAATGTTTTAAGTAAATTATTGTAAATCATTAATGTACATACTTGCAATAGAAACTATAAATCAACATTTGTACCATATAATAAGTTTGAATGAGTTGACCATAAAATGGTTCCCATGAATGAAACTTGTAAACTCTGACATGATAATTCACTGAATTTCATGACAGTATGTCTGAAGAAAGTTATCTCTCTTATCAGAAGAGTTATCTCTCTTATCAGAGGGATATTCCACCTTAAAATGTGAAATTAATCAAACAAAAGCTTGTACTAGAACAGCATTAGGGACTATGTCCATCCAATTAATATTAAATGTTAGATACTGCCTAAATCTAACAACATCCTGTAGAGTGTCATGTCAGAGGTCAAATTCTATTAACCAATCAAATAGTCAACTGCAAAATTATTGTATTTCATATATTGGAACGAATAAGTCTAGAGTTGTTCCGTATTTGACATCTGACGTGACCTTCTATGGGATGTTGTTAGAGGTTGTGTAGCGAGTATGCGAGAGGATCTAACATGTTGTTTTATTTAGATTGGGATTTTGTTAAACTATATTTATATATATTTTCAATAGGTTGAAGTAACTGATGAGCAGATCAATCCAACTTGAACATGATATCATTTCTCCAATGATGAAAACAAGTCTCTCTATACTCAAGCATTGATATTTTTAAAGTCAACTGAAACTGGAACAGGTCATACATGCAGACTACAGTGATGTGTTGCACAGTTCCGAAAACATGCAGCCACCACTAGCATCAGCATGATAAGTGTAAGTGGGTCATCAAAAAATGAGAACCACTCAGGGACTTTTCTGTTTGATGATGATGAACTACAAAATGAATTTTTAACAAAGGAATCCACCTTGGTGCTTATTGGCTACTTATGATGTGAACTTGTGCATTTATTATACCAAGTAATTTTACATTTCCTTGATAATACTAGACTTGCATAAACCGAATTCAGGCTTAGTTGATGATTGCAGTATTAATGCAGTTCTAAGTTCCTCTCGCAAGATTATATCTCTGATATATGAGACATCATTAAATGCAGACATTTTCTCTGTCCTCCTGTCGTGACTTGAGGGCTTGGACTTAGCTGTAAAAATGTTTATGATGCAAGAGAAAAATGTTCAACCCGACGTATGTAAATGTTGGTAATAACATTAAATATTCTTTGATAACTAGTGTTAGTGTGTTGTTGTTTTTTCCAATATGAGAATTCAGGGGGAAATGACTTTTGGTTGAAAACCAGGGCTAAATTGTGTAGTCAATACTACAGTTTCCGTTGCGGAAACCTATAGTATACCCTATGTATATCAATATTGTAAACGCATACTTGCATATACCTCAAGTAAAGCAAGTTTCTATTGCGGAAACCATTGGTAAACCATATGTATTTCAACCGTATACGCATACTGAAACCTTGCGTATACCTCAAGTTTCAGCAAGTTTCTGTTGCGGAAACCATTGGTAAACCATATGTATTTTAACCGTATACGCATACTGAAACCTTGCGTATACCTCAAGTTTCAGCAAGTTTGAGCCTTTAGGAAGAGGATAAGAATTAGTCATTAAGTATTGAGATAATAAAGAAGTTAAGGAAAAGTATGAGAGTCAGCGACATAATTAAGAGGGTCGTGGAAGAGGATGAGAATTAGTCATTAGCATAATTTAGAGGGTGAAAGAAGATGTTAAGAATTTGTTATTGACCTAATTAAGGAGGTAACGGAAGAGGATAAGAATAAGTTAATGGCATAATTAAGAGGGTTACGGAAGAAGATTAGAATAAGTTAATGATATAATTAGAGGTTGAGAATAAGTCATTGACATAATTCAGAGGATTTTAGAAAAGGATGAGAGTCAGTTATTGACACTATTAAGAGAGATAAGGAAGAGGATAAGAATTATTCATTGATGTAATTAGGATTGATAAGGAAGAGAATTGAAAAAGTGATTGACGTAGTAAGAAGTGTTAAAGAATAAAAAGAAAAACTAGGTGACGTAATTAAGAGAGTAAAGGAAGTGGATGAAAGTCAATGAAATAATTAAAAGTGTTAAAGAATTGGATAAGAATTCAAGGATGTAATTAAGAGGGTTAGGGAATAAGATGAAACTTAGTCGACAAAATTAAGAGGGGTAAGAAAGAGGATAAGAAGTAGTTATTGATGTAATTATGAGGGTAACAGAAGAGGATGGGAATTAGTTATTGACATAATTAAGAAGGTTACGGAAAAGGATGAGAATAAGTGATTGAAGTTTTTAAGAGGGTTTCAGAAAAGGACAAGATTTTGTCATTGAGTTAATTAAGAGGGTTATGGAAGTCAATGAGAATTAGTGATTGACGTAATTAGTAGTGTAAAGGAATAAAAAGAAAAAAATCAGTGACATAATTAAGAAGATTAATCTCATAATAAAGAGATTGAGATAGAAGAGGATAAGAATTACAGGTATTCATTGTTCATTTATGAAGAGAATTTAGAAGAGAATAAGACATAAGTTATTCAGGAAGATGAGAATTAGTCATTGACTAAGAGAGTTAAAGATAAGAGAATGACATAATTAAGAGAATTTAGGAAGAGGATAAAAATTAGTCATTGACCTAAGTAAGAAGGATAAGGAAGAGGAAAAGTATAAGTTATTGACATAATTAAGAGAGTTAAGGAAGAGGATAAGATTTAGGTATTGAGAAAATAAAGAGGTTTAAGGAAGAATATGAGAGTCGGTGACATAATTAAGAGAGTTACAAAAAAGGATGAGAATTATTTTTGACATCATAGAATGGGATAAGGAATAGTATGAGAATTAGTTATTGACATAATTAAGAAGAATAAAGAAGAGGATAAGAATAGTCAAGTTATTGAGAGGGTTACAGAATGAAAAGGACAAGAATTAGTTATTGACATAATTAAGAGGGTAACAAAAAAGGATGAGAATTAGTTATTGAGGTAATCAAGAGGCATAAGGAAGAGGATAAGAATGTTATTGAGGTAATAAAGATGGTAACAGAAGAGAAGGAGAATTAGTCATAAAAATGATGAAGAGGAATAAGGAAGGTGATAAGAATTAGTCATTGAAGTTAGATGAATTAGTCATTGGCATAATTAAGAGGGTTAAGGAAGAGGTTAAGATTTACGTATTGAGATAATGAAGAGGTTAAGGAAGAATATGAGAGTCAGTCACATAATTAAGAAGGTCAAGAAAGAGGATAATTAGTCATTGGCATAATTAAGAGGGTGAAGGAAGAGTTAAAGAATTCATTATTGATATTATGAAGAAGGTTAAGAAAGAGAATAAGAATAAGTTAATGACGTTATTAAAAGGGTTACAGTAAAGAATGAGAATGAGTTATTGATGCAATTAAGAGTTAAAAAAGAGGAAAAGAATTATTCATCAAAGTAATTAAGATGGATAAAGAAGTGAATGACATAATTAAGAGAGTAAAGGAAAGAGGATGAAACAAGTGACAATACCAGAGGCTTTAGAAATAGGATAAGAACTAGAGCAGCTTGTTGCAAAGCAACGAGAAGCGTTGTCCTGTTTGACCGGAAGAAACTTTTATTTTTACAAAAATGTAATACGTCTAAAATTGTTTAAATCCTTTAAACTATGTTATTTAATGCAAAAATCAGCCAATTCGTGACTTCCGGTTCTTACTGGAGTGATGATGACGGACGGAAAATTAATTTTATGCTCCCAGTGACAATTTTCCCAAAAGTCAAGAATGCAAATTGCGTTTTCCACTCCCCTTTTCCGGGGTT